TATGAAAATGCAAATTCAAATTTATATTTCAAGAAAAATAAACAATTTTTAATTTAATTTCATGTGTTTCTTAATTTTTATAAAATATAAATATTTATTTGTAAAATCATTACTATAGACAAAAGAAAAATGTAAATAATTGTTCACTTACTTGAATAGTAATTTAATGAATATTATCTTGAAACAATTTTTTTTTTCTTGCTCTACAGTCAAAATTAAAAGCTTCCATTGATTTTTATTCCTCGTTATTCAATACACAACATCAAAAATTGATCACAGTTTGAAAATATCTTCATATTAGGCGCGCTTATGAAACAGTTGGTCTGGCAACGAAGTAAACAAAACAAATCCTTAAGAAAAAACTTTCTCTTTTCCTTAACGACAACGTGATTCTCACATATATTTCTGATGAAAAGTGTTTAAAAGTGCTAATATAGACATTTTTTCAGTTATGTTTGCCTTGTTGTATCATTGATGAGTAATTTTATATAAAAATTTAATCCGAAATAACAAACTGAAATAACATTTGAATGCAGACAACTTTGAGCACCCATTAACTGTCCCGTATGTTTGTAAAGAGAGTGACGTCATGCGTTCTAACGTGCAGAATTGGGACAAATTCTTGGTCATTTCAATAAAGTGACTTCTGTTAAATTAAGTATTAAAAATAGCTGTTGTTTGTTTTCTTTTAATTCTCCTGCTATTTTAAAGTGTGCAATTTGTTTAAGGGTGTGAAAGTGTTTTAAGGAAGGAAAATCTCTTCTTTTATTATAAAAATTTCCAACATTGATCATTATGAGGTAGCAAACTTATTTAATTGAACATTAAATACTATGAAGCATTTCAATTGATTTTTTATTTTATTTTAACGTTTATAAACAATAAATTAAAAATTAAAGATAAAACTTTTAAGCATAATCATCTCTTTTTTACAAATAGTTTTATACTTTCGTAGCTCGAGGGCCAGTGGCGCAACGGATAACGCGCCTGACTACGGATCAGGAGATTCCAGGTTCGAATCCTGGCTGGCTCGTCGCTACGGGTCTATCTCGTTTTTAATAAAATTTTTTTAATATCATACCTTTGATTTTTTTTCCAAATCTTAAAACTAAGTTCCAAGCAAAAAATTACATTTTATTGCAAAAAAACATTGAAGGGATGCACTATTTTTCTTATTGCTTTGATAAAAACATTATTGCTAATGTTATCTAAATTATTATATTTTAAATCCTTTATTAAACAAGATCTACATTACAATCCTAACCATTGTCATCTTTTTTAAAGTTAGGAAAATTTTTCAAGTTAGTTTATTCAGAAAAAAATAAAAATGTCACGAAATTGTACCTCACAATATAAAACACGATTTTTTTAAATAAATCAAATTATATACGAACAAAACCTAAATATGTTACTTTGTGGCGGTGGATTAGCAAATTTGTGACAGACTTTATAGGTTTCAATTAATTTGTTAAAAATAAATTTTATGCATTTATTGTTTATGTAGTAAATATTATTATTTTTGAAGGCACAACTTTTTGCTTAAAAGACATTTCAAATAGAAATTTTTCTAATGCTGACATCTAGTGTGTTTAAAATTCACTAACACTAAAAGCATGTAATCTGCTACATTTAGTAATATTTTTTATATTTGAAAAAAATTATCAGAAATTTTACTTAGAATTTAGAAAAACTAATAATTTTTAGCTAGCAATCAATGCAAAATCTTAGCTTCCAACTGAAAAAATAGTACATAAAATTAACTATTTAATCCACTCACATTTCGATTCAGTAGAAATATTATACTTCATCATTAATGCAGGACAGTCGTGTCGCCATCTATTAACAAACTAAAACAGCATTATTTTTGTTTACAACTTATTCTGTTGATCAATTTATTTTATTTCTTTGCTAATGTTTGTAAAATTAAAAAAAAAAAACTTATTTATAACGAATAATTTTAGTGCGAAAGCGTTAATAATGGGACTGGTGTTTATAATTTTAAATTAAATTTCGATTACAGGTGATAAATCTTCAATTAAAATGTTTAAAAATCTTAAAAAATAACATTGTTTTTTTTTTTTTCTATCTGTGGGCACAATACAATAAAGCAAGAGTATGTTATAATGCGCAATTTGAAGCGAAAGAGTCACATTATATAGTCCAATCCAGGTATTGGTATAAGGTAATTTGGTAGGATTGTCAATGAAATTCATATTTTCGATATTATCAATGAGCTAAATTAACATGCAAATTCTGGGCATTACGTATTTTAATTCTAGATGAACGTATTTTATTTTCAGTTAGAAACTTTTACTGTACCTTATACTCAGCAAGAGATGTGTTTTACTTCAATTTATATACCTCAATAACTTTGAATATTGCACTTTGGATAATGACTTTGTGCCAATTTTCAGTTTCTGTTGATCAACAATGAAAGCATGACTGTGAAACACAAAGAACTAATTTACAATGTTGTACTAAATAGTTATGCAAGAACTTTACGCTAGTAGGATGCTTGTAGATATGAAGAGTAAAGAGATTTAAATTTAAGGTTATTAATTAAGGTCAGAGATGTATCGGATACACGGCAATTACATGGCTAGATTTTTATTACCCGCACCTGACAAAAGAATCTTACTACCCAGGACCAGCTAATTTAACCAGGTATCTAGTGCCGGGCAAAACTCATTTATGCTCGCCACCACATTACTATTTATAGTAACGTTCAAACTATTAAAAAAAAAATATATATATATATTGTCTAGGAGATCTCATTAGTTTCGTAATTTAATAATCAAGTAATATAACTGGTTTATGAACAGCATATTTTATCTTGTGTAGAATTTTAAATCAGGAAAACCTTAGTGAAGTGGACACCTTAAGAAAAGATGAAATGTGTTTACAAAAGACAAACGTTGAATTTGGAGAAAAACATGCTAATTCAGAAATCTAATGTTGAAAACTATTTTAACTAAATATGAAAACTACATAAAAACAAAATTAGAATTTGAAAATCACAATGATATTCATTTAAAATCATAATGAATAAGATTGTCAATGTGCAATACTTACTAAATTTGGTCCCAGCTATATATATTTTTCATCATTTGGATTTGAAGACTGAGCATTTTATCGAAGTATAATTAAAACATACAATTTCTTCCAAATGACACATTAATTATCTCACTGTCGCATTCAATCGAATTTCAATTAAATTTAAAAAAAATTTTTTTATTACATTTTATAAAAAGCTAATATAAATATTTTATTCTTTTCTTAAAAATCAATGTAACTGAAAAATTTTTGTGGATAAAAAATAAAGCGATTTAGTTGCGACAGTGAATTAATGAGTTTTACATTTGTATTGAAATTAAAAATTAGTCGCTACAATGATTCTTAAGAAATGAATAAAATTATTTATAATAGCTTCTTATAAAATGTAATAAAAATTAAATATTTGGTTTAATTTAATTAAAATTCGATTAAGAATGATAAAAAAAAAGAAGATAGAATTCTTTATTTTCAGCAGCATAAAATTAACAACAGTCGAAACTTTGTTCAGCATTGCTTGTAACTTTTTATTAAAAAAAAAAAAGACAAAATTACTTATTTTGCAGTTGTTGATGTAATAAACTTTACATATTAAAGTACATAAAATGACTTTTGTAAACATGCATTCACTTTTTAATCTCTAACATAGATAATGAAATTTTTTAATTTCATCCAATTTTTTTAAAAAGGCAATTTAGTACTATACCTTCTTATTTGCAATTACTGTAGTCTAAAATAAAATGCATTATTCTTTACCAGAATACAAAGACAAACTTATAAATATACAGTCAAACCTCGATATCTCGAACTTGAAGGGAGAGGAGAAAAAATTCGAGATATCGAAAAATGTATGTTATCGATGGTAGAATAAAGAAAAATGCTCTTTACATTCCTTATTATTTACTATTCCATATTTATTCTAAAAACACTTTTTACACTTTCATTTAAAAAAAGATTCAATTATTGTTTGCTTTAGAGATGTGTAAGAAAGTTTGTCTATAACACTTTCTAAGTGGACTATATCTTTAAATGTCTCCTCTGACATATTCCGCTGCTTCTCAATGAATCTCCTTACAGTGCCCACTGCAGAAAGAGCTTGCTTGTTAGTAACATTGGGCGGTAAATCTTCGATTTCCTCATCCTCTTCTTCTGATAGTTCACAAGAAGCTTTTGTTTGAGAGTTGATATCATTGTCATCCCTCTGACCACAAACAGTTACAGCATAATCTACATTTACAGTCATGAAATTCGATGTCATCAAGTTTCATGAGTCCGGTCAATTTGTTCCAATCATTTTCGGTGTAGTTTTCAGCAGAATTAACGATATTGATTGTTTGACTACTTTCGTGATCTTTAATGAATCCAGACTTCTTAAAGCCATTCATTATCGTAGAGGAAGACACATTATTCCATGCCTCTTCAGCCATTCTAAAAACTTCGTATTTTTTTTGAATATTTTTATAATTTTAGAAAAAAAAATCTACACTATTTATGGAAAAAAATTCAAGTTATCGAGGGATTAGAAATTTTTTTCGTGAAATCAATTTTTTTTAAACATTGAGTGTATAGGAAACTTGAAGCGAATTTTTTCTTCCTCGAGATATCGAAAAATTCGTGAAATCGAGGTACGAGTGTATATAATTTTAGTAGATTAAGATTTTTCGAGAAAAGTAAGAAATCCATTTAATACATTAGTGTCTGCTAATTAAGTAATAATTCAGATAAAATTACAATTCTAAATTTTAAAAAAAATTATGTAAGTACAAAAACATTTTCCATAGGAGCCACTGGTTCATTGTAAAACTAAATTCATTGTTAAACACTTGACATAATTTTAAGAGCATCAATATCGAAATTTAAAAATATCTTTTCTTGTATGCTTATTTCTTTTAAAAATAGAAAGGTAAATAATAAGTCCATAAATCCAATTTGAAAGAACAAGTCAAAAATGAAAAATGATTAAATATTTTTATTTCAATGATTGTATAATAGTTACATAAAAACAGTTTCTCATCAATTCATAAAATAATTATAAAGTATCATGCATATCAGTCAGGCATTCCTAGAAATATATTTCATTCCGTATTTGGCAACTAAAAATTCATCTCTGAGTCACAGTATGCAAACACACAAAAACCTTTGTATATTTATATACAGTTCATAATTTAAAACAGACTCAAGCACAAATCATTATATACAAATCTAAATGTTACAAACAATTTTTATACAATATGATTAACAGTTAAAGTCTTGCTAAAATCAACTCTTAAATTTATTCATAACACTTGCGTACATTGAATTATACAACTACAATTGCTTCCTGATTTGATGCACACGATTTTTACACAAGGCAATAACTTTGAACTTTTTCTGATAAAAATAGATTTAAAGTTTATTGCTTTTTTTCTTCTTCTCATTTCTTTATTGCTGCAAACATAAATTTGCTCACTTATGATTTACATTAAATCTTTTAAAAAATACGATGAAGCGGAAACTAATTTACAAGGCCTTGAGAAATGATAACTTAGTGGTGGAGCTGGACCAGAGTCAGGAAATATCGACATATCACATATAGCAATATTTTTGTCAATTAATCTTATTTGCATTATTTTTACATTGACCAATATATTTACTATTCAAATAAAATTTATTAACACTCAGTATAATATCATATTTGATATTCATAGTAAGACATGGCACTCAAAATATATCAAAATACTAACTTAGAAACATATTATTACGACAGTATTTAAGAAATATTGATATTTTAAAGGTACACCCCCCAGCTCTACTTAACATAAGAAACATTTTCAGCAGCTGTGCAATAAAAAATACCAGAAATCGATTATTAAGAAAAATAATAAATTTTAAGCAAACAGTTTCTAAGATTATCATTTCTTTCTTTATTCTATCAAACTATGCAAAGTACCACACTTTGAAATTTTTTTGTTGAAAATATTTAGCGACAAATAACTATGATTTTAGTTCAAATGAACAATTCTTAGATACACAGGGATAAGATTTCACTTTACAAAAACATTTAGTAATGAATTTAAAACAATTATTATTCAAATTGATAAAATTTTCTTTAAAATACATACATATAAGATATCTCATCATATGTATGATAAGATATCTCATCATATGTTTAAGATAAAAATAAATTTAAAAAAAAAAAAAAAATTTTAGGACATTTCAAACCCATAAAAACTACACATGAATAATTAAAAAACTACATGACGGAAAACGCATTTTCAATTTAAAAACCGGACAATGGAACACTGAAATATAATAAAATTTCAAAAGTTAATATAAATTCCAGCCAAATCTGTAATCCTTAACCATTTAAAAAGCAGTTGAAGCTACGATAGGATTTCATACACTTGTGAAACTACAGTGATTAAAAAGTTTGAATAAAAAATGCCTAAATAAGATAATTCAGAATTACTCAGGCGACTTTAAAGGACAGCAAAACAAGTAATTTTTATCAAAGAACACACTAGCAAATGCAGGACACCCTTACAGAGTTTCTCAAGTAATATTCCGTTACCACCACTTTTTTTTTCGTTGTTCTTTGTTACTTCTCAAAGACTATGTAACCTATATATCTTCCAAGTTTTAAGTATTAGAGGGAAAAAATTTAGATAAACATGGTGCAAAAATTTCATCATATTTGATATTTTACATCTTTAATATGTCATCTTAAACTTGACTTTCTCACAATAAAACCATATACAGATAATTTTTTGAACAAACTTTTAAGCGGTTGCTCAGCAACCATAGTTTGTACTTGTTTTGAATGCTTAGACAAACCCTTATAATTTGTCAATGTACTTTTGAAACACACTGTATTAAAAATAGCAATATTACCTATTTGCAAATAAATAAAGACAATTAACAGTAAAAAAACAACAGAATTATTAACTTTAGTAAAGTATTTGACTAGACTTAAATTAGAATCATATTCACTTGACATTGTACGCTATGTTTTACAGACATGGCAGAAATAATGGTCACTTTACAATATAACGACAGAAAACATTTCTTTTCTTAAAATTCTCACTTCTTTTAATAACTTTTTACAATAAAATATATAACAAACATCATACAAAGTAAAAAAAAAATTGAGGAAGTATCTCAGCATTTAAAAGAACTTTGGCCTAAACAGCTGACTGTAAACAAAAGACGTAGCAACAGATTTCTTAAAACTCACTCAGTATAACAAAAAGCAAATAAATAATTCGAATGTTATAAACATTTTATAACAAACAATTTGGTACTCAACAGTCTTAACATTTAGTAACCATTCCAGATTCAGAAGTTATTCATGACTATCAGGTGCTTTGACTGGAATAAAATTTAGGTGAAATTTACCTGAAAGATTAAATTTAAAAATCAATAAATCACATGAAAATTTTGAAAAATATGAATAATAGTAAACAAAGCTACTACATTTAGATTAGAAATATACTTGAAATGCAGATTTTTAACAATATAAATTTTTACCTAAAGAAATTTGTTGCTAAAGAAAAAAACTTTCTTCAGTTAAAATTACTATACAGTGTATATTAATATTGTTTTATGCAGCAAGGTTAGCACTCAAATTTGGAAAAAAAAAAGAAGTTCCCTGTACATATTATACGCAAGATATTAACAGGAAAAACACAATCACTGTGCTCTTATATCAGCTATATTGGGCTAACTGTACTAGTTATAATTGCTGAAAAAACTTAAGGAAAAAAGGAACAGCTGAACATACTTAAAACAAATAATGCTATAATAAATGAACTAGTCTAATATAGCTGAAATATCATTCCTAAATATCCCAAATTGCACTTTGAGAGGTTACCATTTTTTAAAACATTGAAATAATAAACGAAATTCCCAGTTAATTAAAATTCTGTGTATTTTTTAGGTTTTCTCTGTGGAGTGTATTAGTTGCCACAAAAAATAGATACATTAATTTCATACTTAAAGGTACTACAGTCAATGCTCGATAGGGTGACCTCCCTGGACCAGGTGAAAACGGATGTTACAATATGAGGTTGTTATACTAAGAGAGCATCAAAATATACCATCAATATTAACTGATAGCTAAATTCAATTTTAACAAAGCAATGCTTTATTTTAATAAGAATTTGGGAGAAATTAGTAGTCATTCCCTTTTTTTACCCAATATTAAATACATGCAAAAGTACCCTTTAAAATGATACTTCACAGGTGAAAAATGCATTAAGAATAAAATACTGGGTCGAATCTGTCATTTTTGATAAATAACTTATATTAGGATAACTGCAAAGACCCTTAAGTTGAAAATATGCCATACAAGTGGACTAATGTTTCAAAAAAAGATAATACAACTTACACGAGATATAAATTAATACGACCACCTAGGATTTAGGTTAAGATTAAGATCAGATCACTCGAGGTGTTTCACAGTAATTGTGTGGCAACATCCAAGGAAATAACTATTTAAATAATTTCCTCTCAGACTTTAAGAATCAAATGATTAAATTTCGGTCCCTTTACAGCAGTGTTTCCCAAACTTATGACTTTTGTCTACCCTTCCTAAATTTTTCGTAACGATGTGTACCACTAATAAAAAATTGAACGCATTTTTTACTACAAAAAAATTTCAATAAAGTTAAAAATCACAACTGGCTGTTGATACCACTAATTATGAACTGTTAACTCTGCGAAAAAAATAGCCAATAGAAAAATACGTAATCATTTCATGACTAGCTTTATTTTTAAATAAAATTTTTTGAAATTTTCGTTTGTTGCAAGATATTTTGCATAAGAACGCGTACCCCCGTTAAACTGTTCCTGTACCCCTGGGGGCACGCGTATCACACTTTGGGAAACACTGCTTTACAGGATGCATAGCGAAATCTTTCAATAAAAAATAAGCACTTTTTAAGCACCAAAAAAATATTTTTAAGCACTCTATACATTAAGAAAATAATTTTCAAAGATTGTACATGATCTGACAAATAACTCTTTTCTTGATAATATTAGCCACTATAAAAAGGTCGAGAGATTTTTCGGTTCGATTTCAGAGGGTGGAAAATGAAGCCTGAAACGGAGAATATCTTGAAAAATGCAGCAGACTTGCACATGAGAGTGCAAGAATCTCACCGATCCCAGCTCAGTAGACGCACATGCAGATTGATGGCTTCATATGCTATGGGCATATGGTGCGCCGAAATAGACAGTGGCTGAATGAATTCTGAAAACGCTGAATAGAACAATGGGAAAAGCACGCTTTTGGATAATACGTGTCGAAAATAGACATGGTAAAGAAATCTCATTTTTGAAAAGGGAAAATGAAGCACTTTTTAAAAACACTTAATGAAAAAAGCACCTTTAAAGGCTTTTAAAAAACGAAAATAAGCACCTTTAAGAACTTTTCAAAAACACTATGCACCATGCCCTATTGGAATAAAAGGTTCAGTGTGGATGTACATCGTGCCAATGTAATTGCAAACAGGTCTTTTTGAAACAATTGTTGCAATTGAAGGGTCATGTAATGGTTGTAAGGGAAGGGTGCTGTAATGGCTGAATGAACTATAATTTTAATGGCATTCAAATTACTTCAACTGTTAACGTAATATGTTATAATTAATACCAAACTTTTATCAGCAAAATTTGTGCGATATTAATCAAGTAAAATTTACATTTTCACACATTAGGAGGATATACCACTACCCATAGAAAAAGCACGTTTAAAATTTGCATGCTAAAAACTAAGCAGTTCAGGTAATTTGCAGAATATCGCTTATGTTTATTTGAATGAGAAGAAAAACCCGATAATGATCTGTAACATTTACTGTCATGTTATGCATATGAATGAAAAATAAAGAGAAAAATCAGAAATTAAATTACCAGACTTGCTTAGATCCTCCATGGTTGGCTCCTTACAATCTGGACCTCTATGGCCAACTTTTCCACAGTTGTAACAAGTTGCTAACTTTTGAGGAGGAGGAGCAGTTGTTTGAGAGTAAGCCCCGTAGCATTGAGACCCTTGACTAGCAGTTTGGCTAGGGTTACCCTGAGTTGAAGGGGACTGTACAGAGTACGTTTGCTCAGGATATATAAGCTCAGGTGGTAAAGTAGTTATTCCATTTGGCAAAGTATAAGTGAAGCCTTGTCCGTGATTCGTTATGCCTGGCTGTGGCACAAAACCGTTAGATGGCGGTTGTGTTTGGAGAAACGGTAAGGAATGATGAAATAAGTATGGCATTCCAAGATAAGATAAAGATACTGGCACAGCAGAAGGCTGGGGGGCAGCTCCTATGGATGGTGAAGGAGCTGGGGACGGCCTTGCAGAGTTTGTAGTATAGCACGGGCATGAAACGGCTGTCAAAGGCGAAGAAGAATTCAAAATGTATCCTGTAACATACGGGGTATCTGAAGTCTGTATCAGAGGCTTAGGAGTCATATCACAATCCCTAATAGGATTTTTCTGTGTCATCCTGTTACTAGTCACTCCAGAATTTGTAACTACAGTCATATTGCTGCTCTTATATGTTGTGATACTACAAGATGCACTTGGAGAAGTGGAACAACCAGAAGTGACCACAGGGAATGGAGAAACACTCACAGATGACATCACCCTGTCTGGATGAGATCTTGTTGGACCAGGTATGAATGTAAGAGCACTTGCCAAGGGAATTCTTGAAAATTGATGATCGTAAACAACTGCACTAGGACTTAAATGTTGAGGAGCACTGTTCGTTCGACAAGGAATCGGTAAATATGCAGGTTTCACGTTTGGAAGCGGTGGCATCTGAGTAACAATAGTACTGTAAGGTATTGCCAATGGGATCACAGACAAAGAAGTACGGTTTACGCTGCCTTTCACGTTAAGCACATCGTCGTCACGCTTTATTACAGAACTGTCTGACGTATTTGTCTCGGAATCCTCACTTTTACCAAATTCTGATGTCAAATTAGACAAAGGTCCTGTCAAAAGTTAAAATTAAATATGATAAAAATCATTTCAAATTGAAAAACCGCAAAATACTGAAAAGAACTTGGTTACTCTCAGAATAAACAGAGAATATAATTTAACCTACATTAAAAAAAACTTACTCTTATCAGCATTTTCATCATTACTGGAACTGAGAGAGCTACTTTGATTGCATGTGTCGCCAGGTGATGGACTTTGGGGAGGACTTGAATATTCTGAACATATCGGAGAACTATCGTTGCTGTTCGATTGGTTGAGAATAGACTTCTGCATGAGAACTTTTTTAGGAACATAACATCCAATTACGCCATTGGGGGGACTAAAAGTAATAGAATAAAATTCAACTTAGAAAAGTACTAATTTTATGTGGCCAATGTAAATTTGGAGATTTTTTTTTTTTGTAAAACTTTATACTAAATAAAATTTTGGAAAATGCAAACATTTACCCACCAAACAAAAAATTTTTTGTTGTTCTCCAGCAATCATAATTTTATTTTCAGAAAAATGCTTGAGTTGATAACTTTTAAATTAATTTAAGACAAAGGTAATTTATGTCAGATTTCCTTACGAGTGAAAATTACTTTCTTACACCAATCCTTGACACATTAATAGTGAAGACTGACTTTATAAAGACAAAATAAATTTCCTGCTCACAAAAAAAATTTAATTTTGTCAAAAGGAAAGGAAATTTTAGTTTATTTAAAAAAATGTTACTCGTTAAGCATATTCATATTAAAAGTAATTAAAAGCATTGCATACAATTTGAAGGAAATGAAAAAATTATACATGTAATGAGGATCAACTGCCTTATGACAAGATAACCTTTCCACACCATGTTGTTAAATCGTTATCATATAGGATATAAATTCTTCGATAAATGTAATTTAATACATACTCCATATTTGCAAAACAATTAAATAAATAAAAATGGATTAAATCTTCAAAAAAAAAAAAAAAAAAAAAAAAAAAAAAAAAAAAAAAAAAAAAAAAGAAGAAGACATTCTGTGAACCTGCAGAAATTCGAAATCAAGGATTAATCTCAGGCATTTTTACTGTCTTCTTATTCTTTCAAGGAGAAACATTTATAAGCAAATTAACACTAATTATACAGGGCGGCCACTCAAAACAGATTTCAAATCTTAAATTTAGTAAAAATCTTAAAATTTCCAGGTTTGTGTTTTCCCCCCCCTTTTTTCTTATAAAGTGTAGGATGTGTACAAGAAAAGTGTCGATTATAAAATATCTTATTCAAAATGTCATTTTTTTAAAACATATCTTGAAAAAAAATTAAAATTTTTTACAAGATTTTTTATTATTTTTTAATGTTCTGGTACAACATTAATTTTTAAAAAATTAAGACGTGGAGAAAATAATATGTTTAGCTTGCAGAATATATTGAACAATTTTAATTGATTTTATTGAATTTAATGTGTTACTTTCAGTAGTATTTGCTCAAAGTGTACCTACAAAATTACAAAATCAGAATAACCAATAAAACCTTTGATAAGTATTGTTTAATATATTTTCATTAAGAAAAAGAAAACTGTTTCAGGTGATTATATATCAATAATTTTTAATAATTACAGTGGCTCCCAAAAGTGCTCACTCACTTATAACTTATCAGATGTATAATGTCTTAGCAAAACTGCACGGAATATTTTAAAAACAAAGCAAAAGTTAATTTTTGAATCAAATAGTAACAAAAATGTTACCCCACGAAAGTCATTGTACATTTAAATGTTTTGGATCTCAGAATTAAAATTATCGTCAATTGTTTTTTTATTTATTTATTTTTCATTTAATTTTTTATTTCTTTATTAGCAATTTAGTATCAAACCTATAATAGCAAAATTATATTTTAATTTTTGCTTGCTAACTCCGTAATATTTTATTTTATCATTTAAAAATGACTTGTGGTCGTAATAAAATAGCCCAAATTTGATTATTCGTCTTCATAAGAGGTAAATCAGTAATGAATATGTTAAATTAGTTTACTGTATTCAATTGAACTGTGTAATATGGGATAAAATGCTTAAAAGGACTTCATATTAGAGATTAAAATTATAAATTTTGTGGAAAAATTCATAAATTTGCAATTGAGTGTTGTAAAAGTTTCTGTAAAAATTTTAAAAAAATATTCTGCACGAATTTCACCTGAAAAAAAAAAAAAAACTAGTTACACGTATATTCAACCTTTAAAAGCTATTGTAGATTTTAAATTAACATTTAAGTAATTAACATTTAGTGGAGCTTCCTTTGGCATCTTCAAAGGAAACTCCACTAAATGTTAATTTAACGAAAAATTAGATTTACTAATAGAGTTTTTTCTTTAAAAGTGTATGATGACTTTTGTGGGATAAAGTTTTTGTCACTTTTTGATGATAGATTCCTTAAAAATAAACTTTTCCTTTGTTTTTAAAATATTTTATATTGTCATTTAAAATATTTCAGTTTTGTTAGAACACATTTTTTATCATTAAATATGCATTCTGAAACATTCATTTTAATTAATGGCTAGTCTAATTTCATTGAAAGTCATAAGTGTATCAACACTTTTGTGAATCACTGTAATTACATTTCAATATAAAGCTGTACTGTATACTGCATTATACTGTATTTCATCTTACCAGTGCTTTTTATAAAATTCACTGATCATATTTTCCTTAAACCAATATCTCAAGTCAAATTTTTAAATAATGGTATTTTGAAATAGCATTTTTATTTTAAGAAATTCAGTATAAAAAAATAAATGTTAGGAATGTAAAATTGTCTAATTTTTAGTTCTATACTCTATAGAAGAAAAAAAAAAAGATAAAATTCCTTAAAATTTATACTTTTCTGATTTTTTTTCTTATTTGAAATTAAAACATTTGAAGAATTCCAATCTAAACAAGCAGTTTTTTAATTTAGCATAGTTAATTGTTTTTGTTTGAATAACTGGAATCTTTCACAGTGCAGAACTAAAACACTAAGTTTCGTTTTCCTTCTCCTGACTAAACACATATGAATAAAAAAAATTATATTTTACGTATATACATCATTTAATATGTTTCCTATATATTCCTTAGTCATTGTCAGCTTTTTTAGGTAAAAAGAGGAATAGTTTTGAAATATCATCTCTGGAATGCAAGCAACATTTACGAACTTTCGATATTGTGATAACTATACAATTCGAATTTTGAATCAAAAAACTAATATTTACCAACAAAACCGTAAAATTTGATATTAATATATAGTTAGTTCTAAAAAAAACTTTTTTCAAAATAAAAATATACTATAAAAGGTTAAAATGAAATAGAAAAAATTAGCATTAATGCAAGAATTGTAACAATTTGTCGACAAACATTGCTGTTAGTGATGGGGGAAAATGCGTGATTGGTTGGTTTGCTGAGAAAAAATAATTTACAGATTTCTTTGAATGGGAGTTCAAAAGCTTTCAGAAAAAGAGTGCAATATAAAATCTATTATTATTAAATTATAACCAACTAATTTTTAGAGAATTTAATAAAGTTAAAAATACAAAAACTTTTTGACTCATTTTGTCAAAATAGAAAAAAATTACCATTCTCAATTGCGAACAAACTTGAACCAGTGTGTGAACACAGACAGAATTTAAAAACCGAATCCCAACCCAGTCTTNCCACCATATTGCCTTTCCTAAATTGCACAGTCTGCATAGAGATCAAAGGTTTCTACATTTGCTCAGCAACCATGGGAGAATTTTATGTTGTATTCTAGTTTAACAGGGTTATAATGGAGCAAATTTTGATGAAAGCAAAGTAAGTTGATGATATTTTAACTGTTTGGAGATACATTTCCGTCTAAAAAATGTGGGTATAATGGATGAAACAATTTAAATTAAGAAAATTAGCAAATAACTTAAATTAGTGAAATTAATAAAATATCAAAGAAAAAATTTCCAGCTTTTCTTTAAAATTTCCAGGTTTTTATCCATATTTCAATGATTTTTCCAGGTTTTTTCCAGTATAAAAAAATTCCCTGATAATTCCAGGTTTTCCAGGTGGGTGGCCACCCTGTTATAGTACTATTCCGATATTATGCAATAACACAGTTGCCACTAAAATCTGGAAAAAAAAATTCCCTGTTCATATTATACACAATATATTAAAAGGAAACACAATTACTGTGCTAGGGTGTCAGCTATATTGGGCTAACTATACTAAGTTTAACTGCGAATCCAGAAAAGGATCAAGTATTGGAAGAAATTTGCCTTCATGGAGGACTTTTTGATGGAACCAAACAGCATTTGCGCTACATGAAGAGAAAAACCTCCCACAGTTAGCCTGATATCAAGGGGACTCTAACCCATGATCTGTCTATAACTGAAGTTGTTTTAACGTCAGCACTGTGGTCAGTGCAAGCTGGAAGCAGAATTAGTAATGCCAGTCATTGCTGGGAATTGAACCTGGCTCACCTCATTACAAGGAGAATGCGTTATCCCCTGAGCCAGTATGGCTGGACTTAAACTATTAACACTCAACATACTGCAGTACTGGCGATAGCAGTATCTGTTGAGGAATAAAAGAAGTATTTTTGCCATGAGCGGAAATTTTATCACAGGGCTGCCACACACAAAAAAAAGAACAAAATAGTGTTTTTAGCAGCCTAAAGAATGAAAATAGTTCCCGAAAATTTATGATAATTTTTAAATAAAAGTTAGTGTCCTAGTACTAAATTTTTATATCAAACAAATTTGTATATTTGCAGAAAATTACTTTACTAAAAAAAAAAACATACATTTCCTAAAAATTTTCCCCCGCTATCAATAATTTAGCAAATATATATGCACATATTCCTTGTTAAAAGTGATTATTCAAATTCGAAAAGTTGTAAATAAGTCACCTGTGGCAATCCTGTTTTCACAATTTATTATTTTTTTCCAACAAATTTGAGAATATACGGGCAAACAGGAGATAGTCGTATAATACAGGAGACTAGTAAGGTATGATAATATTTATAATGATAGTAATGAACAATATTTAAGATGATTAAGATTTGCAATTCACGTGCTTTTTGATGCCAGCTATTTTTTAGTTTTCAGTGTTTTTCAATCCACCAGCAAATTTTTTATTTTTCTGCATATGAAGATTTTTATAAATGCTGGCTCAATATGTGTTTTAATTCTATAATTACTTATTTAATAACATAGGCTGCAGCAAGCCAATCTTGGCTACACGCTTTCTTCCTGCACAAGTTCTTTTTTCTTGGGGGGGGGGGAATATATACCGTTGATAACTGATAAAAAGAGAGCAAAAATGCTATATTATGCAATACCTAACGTAAGACATTAATGTTTCTGAACATATCTAAAAATGTATCGAAATATAGTGATGCCAAAATATTAACATTGTCCAGTTCTAAAACATGAACTTTCTAAATGCATAATTAAAAGATAAAAAAATAAAATTAAAAAAAATAGAAGTATTCTTTCAAAATTGTCCCTTTTCAATTTTTACAATTAGGCATTCCATTTCCAACTATTCTTTAATGTATTTTTATGTGTTGTAAGTAAGTTTTGTGATTTTTACTAATTATCGCTAATGCACGTCAAAAATAGAAGTATTTCTTCTAGCCGATTATATGCGACCTCTCAATTTCAGCCTTTATCATTGGAATTTATTTTTACTAAGCCCTGTAAACGATACAATTAAATTATAATAAAACCCAACAGATTTGACAATATTAATTATGCGAAATATTTACTAAACAATAGTAGGACAGTAGTGATCAGCTATGGATTTAATAAAAACAAAGTCTGTTCGTTTTCCATTTATATTTTAGCTAATAAATAATTTACCTTTTGCAATCAGGTGCTTTGGTCAGCTTTGATCCACTATCTTTAGATATATTTAAGGATTGAAGTTCATCAACAGGCACAGTTCGATGCTACATAAAAATAATCAATATTAAAATGCAACATACTTGCAATGCAATATAATATACAACTTTTAAGCTGCTCACAGTTAAAAAAATATAAGCGAGGTGAATATTAGCAATTATCAAGTACTGAATGATGAATTCTGAAAACTTTAACTATTTTTTATTAGTATGGATAGTTGACCGCATAAAACTAAGCATAGATGGCGTAGGGATTGAAATTCGCCGTAAGACTTCTGTGTTACTGTTTCCGATAGATTTTTAAGCCTAAGCTTGAAAAAAAGTGCCACCAAATCTTACAATATAACACCTTTTTGCAACTTAAATTTCAACAAAACAAACCACATATGAATTTGGAAGATTTCATAAGCATGCTATGCCCTACAAGATGAAACTCAAAAAATAGTTAACGTTAATATTTTATACAAATGTAGCCAAACAAGGGATTAAACTCAAAACATAGCCAACCTTACAACTTATTTATGTTGCGATATTAATTTTCCTAAATTTGTGTTAGGCTCACAAACATTTAGAATTTATAAACTATGGGAAGATCTTATGAATGGTAATATTACACGTAAATTTAAACATAAATCACATCAATAAAACTTCCTAGAATATTAAGCCTCTTCACACATCGACTCGTAGGCACAATATAAGCGGAGGGATACACCGGAAGTTTTCAATATTTCTTCCGGTTTTAAGAAGCGTGTAATTGTTTACATTCAGTCAACCATCCGTAAAAGATACAGTGCGGCTTTCCGGAGAACTCCCCCAGACACCAGTCGTGGCGGGTACTATGGTTACGAGGAAAGGTCACTTCGAATAGGGGTGCGGGGGGAATAGTTTCGTCTTAATCTTAGCATAGGTCGTCGTGAGTAAACCAAATGACACCTTCTTTCCTCCATTCCACCCCCCATTAGAAATGTGTTCTTGCTTGTTACCATAGCAGCAGACAGCCCCAGACTTTCAATCTAGGAGTTCACCTCAGAGTCGCACTATACCTTCTTTTGTGGATTGTTTTAAACGCTGTACAACATCAGCAAACTTGTAATAAGTCTTTTTAGAAAACAGTTAAAACAGATGTTTTTGTTGAAATTACAAACGGATTAAGAACTTTCTCAGGAAAAATTTTCTAAAACTTTTTTTTATTGAGATGATTTAGAAATAACTATATAGTTAAATATTTATTATTAAAGATAACTTCTGCATACTTCGTTGGAATTTAGGACTTGATATCATAAAGACAAAGCAGAACACATTATGCAAGGCATAGATACCAATTTTCCTCATAAAAAATTACAAGGCCAAATTTTCCAAATCAGTAAAACCAAAATTTTTTAAATTGAGAAATATTACTATTCAAAGCATACAGAATTTAAAAGAATGTATTAAACTTTTTAAATAAAAGAAGTAGGTAAAATACCTCCTCCCTATAATTTCTACCAGTTCCACAATGTTCAATAATGGGTTCCCTTGTTAAGAATTTATCTGTAGGAGCATCAATTGTACTTCGATCCACGGAGGAGCTCCATGGAGATGGTGCACGAGAATTAGTAGCAGAATTTTCAGGAGACATATAAGGAGAAGATAGAGGAGACTGGGCTGGAGATGTTGGAATATAGTTGCTGTAGGAATTAAAATCTGGTATAATACTTAATATAAAAGATAGGATATAAAAACATGAAGGTATAAATTTCATAATAATTGTGCATAATGCACTAATTTACACATGCTGCATAATATTTTACACATAGGGTATTAAAGGGATTTTTATAGCTATCAAAATAGAAAAATCGCAATATTTTACAGTTATGATTGACATTAAACATACTTGAAATGTTATGTATACTCATAATTTTGAATATTAAAGCACATATAATTCATCAAAGATAGTTAAAAGATCTTTTTTAATTAAGGGGTCACAGTACCTTTGCAAGAATTTTTTAAAATAAAGGTATAATCATTCATTTTGAGGATGCTTTACATGCTCATTTAAGTTATAATCAATAATTTATCTTGAAAAAGTAATTAAACTGATTAATTTTTTTTTAAATTTTAAAAAAAGTTGAAAAAATTCTAAATTTTTAAATCCCTAAGGCTTTTTTATTTTAACATATTTTCAAAAAAAGTATTTTTCATAGTGCTTGCAATATTTATCTCAATAATTTTGTGCANAGGTTCACTTCATTATGTAATACTTATTTAAATATTCAAGCAAGCAAGGAATAATGTGTACAAAAATCGGGAGAATTTTAATTAACTAGTAGACCAGAAGAAACTGGAAAAATCCAGTAGTTTACTGCAAAATCCAGTAGAGCTGACAGCTTAGCATATAACTATACTGCTATTGATACAATGCAACTGCATTGAAATTATTACAAGGCATGATACCGATAGTTTCGGGACGACAAAAAAACAAAACAAACTGTAACATAAAACTTTAAAATAATGATATTTAAATTACAAATAAAACAATAAAAATTAAAAAAAAAACCATATTGACTAAAACATAAGCTAAATTAAATATTTTTTTTTTTAAAACAGTCCCCTTTTTAGTTACATGAAAGTTTTGATAATTGATGGTTGTTTTAAAATGCAATTACCTATTGAATTCTCAACTGTAATTATTTTTTACTAAAAGAATATTAATTGCAATTTGATTAACATGTTCTTTTAATCAAAAATAAATATTTAAAAAAAAATGTGATTCCACAGTACATCATTTTAAAAATTCTGTGATAAATGAATTGTTAATGATTTAAAAATCATTTCAAATTAACTGTACAAAGACATCAATTCAAATTTATGGTGCAACTTAACTTTGTTATGCAAGGTTTGATTTCTTCTGAAGATAACAAATTCTTCCGAGCAAACAGAAATTCTTCTGACAAATTTTTCAGATTTTTTTTGAAGATAACAAATAAGTATATCACTCCAAATTCTCTCTGACAAAATTTAATGACAGAAAAGTTTAATTAACTGAGTTTTTTCCTCCTTTATAATATCACTTTTTCCTCCCTTATAATATCACTTAAGAGTCCTAAAAATTCTTAAACAATAAATTGATTCAAATATACAAACTAGTTCAATCACCTTGGAATTTGTGGATGGTCCCCTATCCAAATTTACAATTTTTTACTTATTTATGGAGAAGTACTGTTATGAATAAAATACAGACATTTAAATATCAGGGTTGTCACTCAAATCTGGAAAAAAAATTCCCTCTGCTTTCCCTGTTATACGCAATATATTAAGAGGAAACAACAATTACTGTGCTCTCGTGTGAGCTATATTGGGCTAACTATATTTATTAGTTTCAATTGCTGGAAAANTTTAATTCACTCAAATCTGGTAAAAAAAACTCCCTCTGTTTTCCCAGTACATATTATACACAATATATTAAGAGGAAACACAATTACTGTGCTCTTGTGTGAGCTACATTGGGCAAACTATACTAGCTTTAATTTAGGGAAAAAAGGAACAGCTGAAGATACTTAAATAATGCTACAGTACAGGGGTGGCCAACCTGCAGCTCTTTGAAAGATTATTTGTGGCTCTCGATAAATGTACCCGAGTTCCCCTTTCATTTTTGTGCTATTATATTTCAAAAAATTATTATTGTTCTGTATCAGTATGTGTTTAAAATTGTCTTTTAAATTACTAAGAACAAATATGAAAGACTAATTGCAACGTTGTTCAATTCAAGGTGAGTTTTCCATTTCCAATATAATTATGACACAAAAAGCACCTGGAGAATTTGAATTAATAGAGATACAAGAAGATCAAGCTCTACAATTAAAAATAAGTCGACGTCGTTTACTGAATTTTGGAAATTTGTACCAGAATCGAAGTATCCTCAATTGAAAAAGGCTGCTTGTTGAATTATTTCAATATTCAGAACAACATACTTTTGTGAATCATTTTATTCCACTTTTAAAGTCGTGAAATTCAAATACCCATCAGTATTAACTAACCAGCGTCTCAAAGAATTACCGAGAAGTGCTGTCACCAATTATTCATTAGATTTTAAAAAATTATCAGTAAGTAAAATAAGTGTGTTTAATTTTAAATTCAATACACATATTATGTACTTATAATTTATTTCAATAAATATGATTTATGTAAAAAAAAAATCCAATACCTTTTAAATATGTATTTAATTGCTGCTCGGGAAAAATTTCTTATTTTGAAAAATGGCTCGACTATGTAGGAGCTTGGTCACCCCTGCTGTAGTGTATGAAATAGCTTAGTATAATTGAAATATCATCCTTAAATATCCCATAGATTATGCATTGAGTGGTCACCATTTTACAAAATAAGAGACTAAATTCCCGGTATTTTTCCAGTTACCAAGAAATGAGAACCAAGAAGCACCAATAAAAAACCAAGGAAGTGCTCATATGTGAGTTCTGTTTAAAATCTCTATCATCAAACAAGGAAAAGGACACACCTTACTTCAGCATATTTTCTCGGACATGAATTCGGTAATACTTTTTGTCTACTTTCCGGATGGTGGCCAGGAGACTTTTCAGACATCTGAGAATTATATATCGTTAATGAACGCAGACGAGAGCTTCTGGGAGGCAATTCACCCTGCTTATGGTCTACATGTTTGGTATTTCTGGAGATGGATGCTCGATTAGAGCTAGAAGGCATGAAGAATTTTCGGACAAAATCATTCTCCAATACATATCCAGGTAGTCTCAAATTTAACTGCCTATAGAAGGTTGGAAAGAAAGTGAATTCAAAGGAAATAAAAATTATAAATTAAAAAACAAAATACAGCAAATATTTTTTGATAATTATGAAGTTATTTAATTCAAAAACTAATAATAAATTAAATAAAAATGAAGACATACTTAAGACACATGTTTATATAAACTGTCATAATACAGAGTTACCACTTTTATTCTAAAATTAAAATGAATTATTTTTAAGTCTTTAAATAATAGGCGAAGCAATTATGACTCAACTTACTATACATTATTATACTTTAGTAGATAAGAAAAAATAAATAAAATGGATGACAAAAAAGTATAAAAATAATATTCTATTTTTCAATATTAACCATATTTGTTTATAAAATGCAACTAACATTACGAATAGTTATCAACTTCAAACTCAATTAAATAACTCTTTATCATCAGACTCAAATTTAATTGAAAATGTACAAAGAAGACATTGAATCTCATTTTTGTCAGAAGGGGAACCCTTGAGAGTAATAATAACATTGCAAAAGAAAAAAAGAAAACAAATACTTTATTTTTCAAATTTTAAAAAGACAATTGCTTTTTTCATTTTAGGTGTACATTTATCAACATTTGTAAATCACAGAAACATATATATATATATATAAACACATACATTATAAACTACGTAGAAATGATTAAAATTTCAAAATAAAAAGCTTTATAACTTACTGTATATATTCTGCCATGCACGTTATAATACTTTCATTTAGAGTGTGCTGCTTATTCCAGGTTGCTATTGCAACTATAGAAATATACAAAAAGTTTATACAATTTTGAAATTAAAATTTCCTGAAGTTAAAAACAAATATAAATTGGACATCACATACTTTAAAATTTGCAATAACAATATTAAAGCTTGCTGTAAAAGATGGTATCCATAACACACTTATATAAATTGAAGTTGTTTGTAGTTAAAATTCAATAAAATTATAATTAAGTGCAGAGGAGAGTGGTTTAAAAAATTTTAGTCCATAAAACCCTATTTAAAATCTTCAAAATACAAGTTTAATTTTATATTATCAGTTATATAAATACACATTTATTATAATCAGAATAATATTGATTAGAAACTAATCAATATTTGTAGATGTAACATATGGTGGAAGAAAGTAAAAGAAATAACTTTTTTTCAGTATAAAATACAATCTAATATGAAGTATAACTATTTTTTATCAAATGTACACTAAACATATAAAACACGAACTAAATATAAAGAACAGATTAAATTGGGACTAAAAAGGCAGAAATAAAATTATTTTAAATATTAAAATTAATTGAAACATTAATTGAGAATAAATTATAGAACTAAGTGCGAAATTTAAATTTTGTTTTATTTGGATGAAATAATGCAATTTAAGTAATTTTTTTTGACTCGTAGCAGTAATGAGTAGCGTTTGGGTCTTACTACACATTGAAGTGCCTGCAAATTAAATACAGTGAAACAGTGGTGTACCCAAGGGAGGGGTTTAAACACCCCCCTTGAGGTCAGACAAAATTGCAAAAATAAAAATTTTAGTAGAAATTATGCAAGCTATTATTTATTAAGACTATATATTTTTATTTACCTTATGCCTACTTTTTTTTTTCTTACGGTATTTCTCAGAATACTAAAACATTTACTATAATAGGGTTGTACTTTTAAGACCAAATTTACGTGATACTGTTACGGACTAGTTCCTTTCTATCCTGCCAGTATAGTTTTCGAAACTGGTTGTCATTCGAGAGTTCTTTACGCGATGATTCTGGAATCCTAGACGTGCCTTTGAGACAATTCGAGAATTTTGGAGATGCAGTGACAAATTATATGAAAGGGGGAACGGAGTACAATGGAGTTAGTTAGTCAGGCTAAGAGTCAGGCTGCCTCTTGTTTTTCGGAACTCGTCGCTAAATCTGTTTTGTTTTGTCTTAACAAAAAGCTCCTTCAATCGCCATACGCGTCGTCTCCACTATTTCGACTAGTGAAGAAATCAGTAACAATACCATTGGAGATACTGCGCTCATTGAAGTTATTCATTCCTGCTCGAAACTTTGAGATCGTAGCATAGCGGATATTTCTGTGCCAATATATATATATATATATATTTGCTGTTCTTGGATCTTTAGGATGTCAAAATGCAAGAATTTATCAATTTTTAATTATTTTGAGAAAAAATCATGACGTGAAATTAGTGAGGTGACAGCATATAGTACCAAAGTAAGTTTTTCTGTTGTACAGAAATGTGACACTTCCATTGAAGAAAGGGCTTCTAGCATAACAAAATCTGATGAATGTGAAAGTGACTCCAAAGTGTTACTTCCCACCCATATGCTGTTGCATTATGTTCTTAAACTTAAAAAATCAAATCAAAATTTAACTAAGCAATGTGTTCTAAATAAAAAGTTAAAATTGTCAAGCTGTCTAAATTAGGGAAATAATAGTGCTTTATTACAGACTCGAATTTCTTTTATTAGTTTCAGAAAATTATGAACACCCCCCTTGAAAAAATTCTGCGCACGCCACTGCAGTGAAATCTGCTTTTCTTATATTTGTCATAATATATAAACTCAATTTTGTAATCGCCCTACAGATATAAAGGGAACTTGTTCACTTTTTTCCCTCTCTGCGTGTGTTTCTTACTTTTATTTATTGTATTGAATTAAGAAAAGTATTATTATCAATTATAGAGTATTTTGGGTTACAATTAAGGCATAATTTACAACAAGGAAAAAAAAAAAACTATACAATTTACCTGGTATGGGTGGAATACATTTATCTTGGTTAGTACTCTTCGCTTCGCATGGAAACATACGTACTAACTACAAAATAAAATAATTATTTGGTAAACAAATTCAAGATCCAGTGAAGAAAATTTTTCAAANTTTCTGTGCCAATATATATATTTGCTGTTCTTGGATCTTTAGGATGTCAAAACGCAAGAATTTAAATTTTTTTTAATTATTTTGCGAAAAAATCATGACCTGAAATTAGTGAGGTGACAGCATCTAGTACCAATGTAAGTTTTTCTGTTGTACAGAAATGTGATACTTCCATTGAAGAAAGGGTTTCTAGCATAACAAAACTTGATGAATGTGAAAGTGACCCCAAAGTGTTACTTCCCACCCATATGATGTTGGACTTTTTTCAGAAGATATTGCATTATGTTCTTAAACTTAAAAAATCAAATCAAAATTTAACTAAGCAATGTTGTCTAAATAAAAAGTTAAAATTGTCTAGCGGTCTAAATTAGGGAAATAATAGTGCTTTATTACAGACTCGAATTTCTTTTAGTAGTTTCAGAAAATTATGAACACCCCCCTTGAAAAAATTCTGCGTACGCCACTGCAGTGAAATCTACTTTTATTTTATTAGTCATAATATATAAACTCAATTTTGTAAACGTCCTACAGATATAAAGGGAACTTGTTCACTTTTTTCCCTCTCTGCGTGTGTTTCTTACTTTTATTTATTGTATTGAATTAAGAAAAGTATTATTATCAATTATAGAATATTTTGGGTTACAATTAAGGCATAATTTACAACAAAGAAAAAAAAAAAACTATACAATTTACCTGGTATGGGTGGAATACATTTATCTTGGTTAGTACTCTTCGCTTCGCATGGAAACATACGTACTAACTACAAAAGAAAATAATTATTTGGTAAATAAATTCAAGATCCAGTGAAGAAAACTTTTCAAAATTAGATAAATATTTACCTCTTTGTGGAAGACAAATAAATCATGAGGATTTTTAAAGGCATCTGTAACTTTAGTACTTCCCCAAGCCACCTGAAAAGGAAAAGTATTTTTCAAATTAAAGAGAGTCTGCTTTCATAAAACATACTGACAAGTTATGAAACATTGCGATGGTATATACATACCCTTATTCTGATAGACATCCTTTTATGAGGAGGCTTAACCTTTAAGCTTGTTATTTGAGCTATATTAATTAAAATAATTAAATTAGTACGAATGGCATTAAAGAATAAGATAAAATAACTTTTTTGCTAAAAATTCATTTCTCAAAAAATAAGTGAATGTAATAACATGAAATAAGTAGATAGCAGAAGAATTTTAATGCCACAATATAAGTGGAATAATTAATGGTTCATATAGAATTTCTTTGACTGGAATAATTGAAGAATTTTAAAGCCCTAACATATGAAGAATGATCTATTTTTCATATATTCTTTCATAAGAATTTCATTTTGTTTGTCAAAATTTGTAAACGAGCATTAATATCAGACATTGACTAATTATTGAATAAGAGACATCTAGCAAACACAATCTAGCGTTGTTTACCAATACTAAAAATGACAGAAAAAGCACCAAGCGAATACGGATGAAACGAGAAGAAAAGGAGCAAAATTAGCCAAACTGCAGAATCTGTAATGGTTCACTTTCGCTCCGCAGCACCGAATGTCCAAAGCTGGGAGGAAGTGTAATTTTGAATTTTTTCCTCAGTTCTCCCAAGCTTTTGAGGTTCAACACGCCTTCGCTTTCAGTACACCTCGCAGAGAGAAGGGGGAATTCTAGACTCCTTCTGTTGATCGGCATGATTCCTCTGTAGGTCTGAGCTTACTTGTGGATGGAAAGGGAGGAATGAGTCATTCTATTAACGAAGGAAAATCTTTTGGAGCGAATAAAATACACTAACATTTACCCACTCAACAGAAAATAAATATTGCGGGCACTTAAAAATTAGTTTTTTTAAAACAAAAGAGAAAAAAAATATTTCGCCCTCGAACATTTCCGTTAATTCTTCTGCCCTCGAATCACTTTTGTTTCAGTTTCACTTCTGTCCGCGGTCACTTTCAAAAGAGAAATTAGTCTTGTGAAGAGAAGACTCGCACCCTTGACATAGAATGATCTCCTGCTTTAAACGTATATATTTCTCGGTATAAGCATCACATGGAATTTCTTAAAAATATATTTAATATATTTATACCATTTAAATTGAAATTATTTTACATATTCTGCATTTAATTTTTAAAATCAAGTGAGACAATCTAAGGTAGGGGTGCACAACCTGCGGCCCGGTGGCCAAATGCGGCCCTTCGACTACTGATTTGCGGCCCGCGAGAGCTTCTAAACACAATGTTTTTTTATAAAAAATGGCAATTTTTAATCGCACTTTTAAGTCACCATATTTTGACACAATCAATTTTAACAGATTCTTTAGTAAATGTACGTTTAATGCGCTTTCTTTAAGTCGATTTTATAGTAAATATAAATGATTTTTTTTAAAACAGTTATTTCCGCTTCTCCACGTTCGAAAATCCCGAATTTTTATTACGACGCGAGTTTCAGATCGCAAATTTAAATAATCACTTTTCGTACACTTTATTTGTGACGATTTCATCTTAAATCTAAGTGATTTTTTATCTTTTTTTTCAAAAATTTTCTTCGGCAGTTATTGCGATGCGTTCCCACGTACTATAAAAAATTTCAATTATTCTATTACGACATGCAAATTTTAAATCATGCATTTGACACGCTTTATTCGTGCTGAGTTCAGCATAAATATATTTTTCCCCAATTATTTCTATACTTTTCCACATGATTTTGATGATCCCGTTATTTAACTATGATGTTATTACGACACGTGATTGTTAATCGTGCAATTAAATATTCACTTTTTACTACGGTGTTTCGGTACAGTTTTGTCGTAAATCCTAGTTATTTTTTCCTTCGTTTTTATTTCCGCAACGAATATGATTTGGTCGAATGTGGTAATGAATTGTGATTTGGTCAAAAATCAAATATTCGGCAAAAAAAAAGAAGAAAAAATCGAATGTACGCCGTACACTTGGGGCCAAATAGCAAAATCTTTTAGCAGCATAGTAATACTGAAACTAAAATTTTAATGCTCAGAATAATATTTCCTAGAAAAACGTATTCATAAATTAACTCTAAAAAGAACGTTTTTGTCAATCAATACGAATGTCAAAAAAAGTAATATCTGTAAAAATTAAAAAAAACTTAGAAAAATACCTTTCTAAAAAATATTCTGCCGAATATTTGACTGATCATTCAACCAACTGAATTTTTCACAGAATGGCCAAATACTCGTTACATCCCTCCCTAATTCAAGTGCAATGTTATTTCAACTTGAGAAATTCATAAAATGGCAGAAAACGTGAATTTTTTAATTGCTCACAGTTTGTAGTTTAGATTTCAATTTTTTGTTGCTTAAGTGATCTTTTTCGATTTAAAAAAAAAAAAAATGTTTACGATATAAAAAAATCTAATATTTAATAAAATAAAATAGTAAAGTACATTACAAATTAAGCATTGAATTTTATTTTGAACTATCACAGTTTTGTTTTTATTTTAGGCTTTTGCTTAAAACCTATAAATTTTTTTCAATTAAAATATTTAATTTGAATTTATAATACTTAAACATGACTAAACTTTTTCCTACTTTCATTTTGTGGGCATTGCATTTTTTTTTTTATTAGAATTTAATTCTAAAATGAATTGAATTTTCGTATTGCATGATATGATAAAAAAAAAATTTTTTTTCTTCAATGTTTATTTATTTTGATAAAACTATTCTTCATATGATAAAAATAGCAAGTTTTTTTATTTTTGAATGAATCCTAATAATGGAACACTAAGTTATTGATATTACTAAGTTTATTGATAAAAAAAAATGGAACGCTAATGTTTAAATAAACATTACTACATTTGTCATTAACATGTCTAAATACATGTGCGGCCCTTCGTTAGCCAACCTGCTGTGCAAGTGGCCCTTCACTCATAAAGGTTGTGCACCCCTAATCTAAGGCGTTAGCGAGATGTTTTTTATAAATATTTTAGTTTATAATTTCAAACAATGTTAGTCCTATACACGAATAAAAAAATTTTTTAGAGCAAAATGTTAGAAAATTATGAAATAATTCTCCTTTTTGAACTAAAAATCCTCTAAAGAACATTTTATTCTGCAAATTATTAATATTTCAGTTTTTATTTTCTATCTGAATAACTCTGTTCAATATTAAAAAAATTTAATAAATATGTAATCAATAAATATATGTTGAGCTGTTACAGAGTGCCTTCCACCTATTAGAGAAACTTAATTGCGGGAAGGTTAGCAAATATGTAAAAAAATAAATATATCGAACACAAATTTAAAAAAAAAAAAAAAAAAAAAAAAAAATTTNAAAAAAAAAAAAAAAAAAAGAATTTTACCTTCAAAGGGTGAATCACAAGACTTTAATTGCTGAGAAGAATTATAGCGATAAGAGATTGCTGTATTAGGTATTTCTTTATCACTCAGATTAGATTGTTGTAGCCCAGTTGATAGCTAAAAAAATTTCATTAATATGAATGAAACTGTGAATTACAAACAAATAAAAACTCAATTTTACTTGAAAAATAAAGTTAAATAAATTTACTTTAAACACATAAAAGATAATAATATTATCTATTATAAGTATATATCTATCATATTATATATCTATATAATATTTAAAATTATCTTTAAATATTATAAAAGGATGACCATAACATATAAGAAAAACAGAAGTAATTTATTATTGAATTATTTATAAAAATCTTGAACATTTTCTATGTTTAACAAGTAATGAAAAAGGAGAGAGGACAGGTTACATTTAATTTCTCATATAGATCTACAGGCAAAAAAGTTATCAGCTTTATTATCAGTAGTTATCATTATTAACTTTTTAAAATGTTATGAAACTCCAAATTTATTATTCAATTAGTGGGGAATGATTAAAACTTTTAAAATTATTGCTGTCAACATGAGAGAAAGAAAAAAAATCAGTCCAGTTTGTATGAAATGATATTAACTCAATGTTAACATCTAAAATATTGTCGACAGAAAATTTTAAGGATTTTTTAAGTCACTAAAGTAAAGAAACTTCATAATGCTAATTGCTAATAACTGCAAATTTAAGTTGAGTGCAATACTTTCCAGTTTCGATTCACCTTAATTGGACTTAAATATAAAATACTCTAATTAGATTTTTTAATTTATAAATTTTATTATTTAGATATTTTTCATGCTTTATAATAAATTCTGACACTCTTCAATTGATTAAATTATAAAATATTCTTTAAATAAATTATAGAATATATATGAACAAAAATTATAGAATATTTTTTTTAAAAAAAAAAAGCTTCAAATTTATAACTTGATGAAGTATACCTAAATTGACAGTAAACTTGTTTCAAGTTAGTAATAAACTGATAAAAATATCTATTCTGACTTTCTCAATTTTAGGAACAGGAAAAATCAATTGCTAAGTCTACAGAAAAATTAAATACAGCTGTCAGCTATACTTTTAAGAAATGCCTATCTCAGTCCTTGTGGCTAAAATCAAAAATAAAACCCTAGCCAAAGAAATAACACCTATGAATTTAATAAATAATTTAGCAAATTTTAGATTTCTAATACTTTCAAAATGCTCACAAAATTAGAACCTCAATATCAAAAGATACATGTTTTCCTACCCTACCATACGTACTGTTATCCAAAACACTTTAATGCCTAACTTGCAATTTTTAACATTTAATTTTAAAAAAAATCTACCTCAAATTTTTTTGTGTTTATTTGAAAACAAACTTTCGCTTTCCATGAAAATTAGTAAACTTTAAGGATGCAATGTATTTTCAATGAATAATATGAAGTTACAAAATACTACTAAAATTCAAAACTATTATAATTCTGTGAGCTAATGAAATACATCTTTATTTATAGAATATATTTCTTGTGAAATTTTTGGATGAAAAAAAAAAACTTAATTTGTGAATGAGTCAATAGTGGAAAATGAAGGGAAATTCCCCTTTTATATTTATAATCAAATTGAACTACACATTTATTTTTGATGAAAAAAGATTTTTTAAAAAATAAATAACTATCAATAATTAAAGTGAAGCACATAACTAATGAACAAATTTTTTGCTCACCTGTGAGAAAACATATCTAGAATTAGATATATATCTATCAAATATTTTTCTCTTCATACATGATATTCATCAAAGTAAGCAATATTTTAATACATAAAAATAATTAAATATTTTCTAATTTTCATGTGTACAAATTCACACTGATTATATGACAATGTAAAAAAAAAAATTGATAGCTGAATAGCAGACAGAGCCGGATTATACCTTTCGTAGGCCCTAGGCACAGCCGTTTTTGGGCCCTCCCCTCCTTCCCCCTCTCCTCCCTTCTTTTCAAAATATATGCTAAAATTTTCTTGCATATTTTTTTTTTTACATTTTTATTAATATGGATTTTAATTTGAATACGACATTTTGCGTAGTTTGGAATTCGACAGCNATAAAAGGATGACCATAACATATAAGAAAAACAGAAGTAATTTATTATTGAATTATTTATAAAAATCTTGAACATTTTCTATGTTTAACAAGTAATGAAAAAGGAGAGAGGACAGGTTACATTTAATTTCTCATATAGATCTACAGGCAAAAAAGTTATCAGCTTTATTATCAGTAGTTATCATTATTAACTTTTTAAAATGTTATGAAACTCCAAATTTATTATTCAATTAGTGGGGAATGATTAAAACTTTTAAAATTATTGCTGTCAACATGAGAGAAAGAAAAAAAATCAGTCCAGTTTGTATGAAATGATATTAACTCAATGTTAACATCTAAAATATTGTCGACAGAAAATTTTAAGGATTTTTTAAGTCACTAAAGTAAAGAAACTTCATAATGCTAATTGCTAATAACTGCAAATTTAAGTTGAGTGCAATACTTTCCAGTTTCGATTCACCTTAATTGGACTTAAATATAAAATACTCTAATTAGATTTTTTAATTTATAAATTTTATTATTTAGATATTTTTCATGCTTTATAATAAATTCTGACACTCTTCAATTGATTAAATTATAAAATATTCTTTAAATAAATTATAGAATATATATGAACAAAAATTATAGAATATTTTTTTTAAAAAAAAAAAGCTTCAAATTTATAACTTGATGAAGTATACCTAAATTGACAGTAAACTTGTTTCAAGTTAGTAATAAACTGATAAAAATATCTATTCTGACTTTCTCAATTTTAGGAACAGGAAAAATCAATTGCTAAGTCTACAGAAAAATTAAATACAGCTGTCAGCTATACTTTTAAGAAATGCCTATCTCAGTCCTTGTGGCTAAAATCAAAAATAAAACCCTAGCCAAAGAAATAACACCTATGAATTTAATAAATAATTTAGCAAATTTTAGATTTCTAATACTTTCAAAATGCTCACAAAATTAGAACCTCAATATCAAAAGATACATGTTTTCCTACCCTACCATACGTACTGTTATCCAAAACACTTTAATGCCTAACTTGCAATTTTTAACATTTAATTTTAAAAAAAATCTACCTCAAATTTTTTTGTGTTTATTTGAAAACAAACTTTCGCTTTCCATGAAAATTAGTAAACTTTTTAAGGATGCAATGAATTTTCAATGAATAATGTAAAGTTACAAAATACTACTAAAATTCAAACCTATTATAATTCTGCGAGCTAATGAAATACATCTTTATTTACAGAATATATTTTTTGTGAAATTTTTGGATGAAAAAAAAAAAAGACTTAATTTGTGAATGAGTCAATAGTGGAAAATGAAGGGAAATTCCCCTTTAATATTTATAATCAAATTGAACTACACATTTATTTTTGAGGAAAAAAGATTTTTTAAAAAATAAATAACTATCAATAATTAAAGTGAAGCACATAACGAATGAACAAATTTTTTGCTCACCTGTGAGAAAACATATCTAGAATTAGATATATATATCAAATATTTTTCTCTTCATACATGATATTCATCAAAGTAAGCAATATTTTAATACATAAAAATAATTAAATATTTTATAATTTTCATGTGTACAAATTCACACTGATTATATGACAATGTTAAAAAAAANAAATTGATAGCTGAATAGCAGAACAAAAATGACCATTTAGGGTAGGGGTGCACAAACTTTTTGAGGGAAGGACCACTTGCACAGTAGCCTAAATTAATGAAGGGCCACACATTAGCCCTGTTAGTGGCAAATATGATAATTTGTTATAAAAACATAAGTGTTCTAAATACTAAATATTTTTATCAGTAAACTTAGTAACATATTTGCAGAAAATTAAATATACTTTTAATTATTTGCATTTAGTTAAAACTAAAAAAACTGATACATTTTTGAAAAACTTTTTCCATTTTTCAGAATAATTAATTTATCAAATATATATATATATATTCATAAATATTGGGAGGGGGGATATAAATTCTAACCAAAAAGTAGCTTACAGAAAGAAAATGCAAAAAATATACACATTTTATAGAGTTACATAAATTTGAATTAAATATTGTAATTAAAGAAATTTATAATGTTTAAACAAAAACCGAATTATAAGAAATTTTTCATTACTTTCAGAAATTGCGGGCCGCACATCTACAGTCCACAGGTTGTGCACCCCAATTTAGGGTTAAATTTTTGAGAAGTTCAAATTTGGTATTTATAATGTAATACTTTAACATAATGTCTCATCCCTAGTCAATTATAGTATAAATTGCTTCATTTATATGCATTTATCATTATAAACTAATATTTTGCAATAGAGCCTAATTGTATCAAGTGTGAAATTAAATTAATTTTATACTACTTCTTTCGTCCAAAATTTGCTTTTTAGAAACAATACATTTTATTCAAAATAGAAAACATATTATTGCCTTAACTAATAGTGATTCTAGACAACTAACTTTATCAACTGTTTCCTTTAAATGTGATGTATGTTTACACAATTACTCCGATGATGAAAACACCTAGCAGAAGACTAGTTAAAGAACCTGTTCATAGATATTTTAACGTCTCTAAGAAAATCAACTTAAGGCATAAGAAGATTTGAAAGCTATTTATAAAAAATATTTTTTTTAAAATTGCTTAACTCAAAGATTAATTAGAATATATTACTTTTCCAAACCACAGCTGTTATAAAGACAATTTTAAAGCAGGAAAATTTAAATGTCACCTAACTCCCTTCAGTTTTTGTTTTAAATACAGTAGACTACCCTATCCACTTCAGATTTCCTACTATTTGCAAAATATTTTGTCGAAAAACTGTCGTAGTTATATGAACACTTACTTATCAGATCAAACGTTCAACATTTATAGAGTCATGTTTTAAATCAAGGAAAATGAAATGTTTATAAACTTAAGTTTTCAATAATATAGACCTAACTCAGACAATTACCTCAATTTCTGTAATAACTTGAATTTGACCTTGATAATTAAAAGTTACTCAGGGTTTTACCAAGTTAAATGAAAAATATTTCTAACAAATTTTATAATATTCACTTGACAAATTTAATAATACACCTCTTGAAGGTTAATGCATTTAAAAATTCATTATTATAAATTTTTCTTATTTTATTACCAAACATTAGGTAAACAGGGTTAAGATTCTAGGGTTTAGGGGCACATTTACCCAGCAAGACTTAAATCATCTACGTATTAACTTACAAATAAATTAACAAACATTTTAAAATAAAACAGATCACAATTTTGTTCAACGTTAGGATTACGCGCATGAATCATACCTCATATTTAGTCCTTGAGTTCTCCAACTCTCTTACATAAGACTCCAAATTTAAACTTAAGTCGGTTAAAAAATTTTGCTGCTCAAATGTAAATGCTGGATGATGCTGAGCTATTGTCAATAACAATAAATACTGATCAACGACCTTTGAATCTAAGAGATACCCCGACATGGCCAAGTTTTCAATTTTAATTTCTTCACATAAAACTTTAAAGATTTCTTTTGCACAGATAAAATTAGATGAATTTAGAAGACTAAGTAATACTATTAGTCTGCTTCGCATGCAAGATTCATGAATGTTTCTAATTTTGATAATTTCATTCATATCATTAGCTTTCAGTTCATCTTCTTTAAAAACATAAAAATCTTTCCTTCCCAAATCTTCAATACAAGTTCCGTAAAATCTCAATTCTATAGGATAGCACATGTTTAAAATGCCACATATCGCTTCGATACGTTTGGATGCTTTTAAATTTTGAAACCACGAATACACATCCTCTTTGCAAACCATGGTTCATAACTAAATTTAGAAATTGTGGAAAAACAGTATTTCGCGTGATATATACACCATATACACAAATGGCGATCTCCGAAAGTTAAATCAGAACTGATATAATGTTGCCATCATAATAAAAAAATATATCTAAAAAGTTTGAAGCACAGCATAGCCGAGAGATCTAAGTATCCCATTCATATCAAGTATTTTACATTCTCACTATATTGACTAAGTTTGTCTTAGTTTTCATCAGTTTCGCATTTGCGTTGATAAGCTCTGCGCAATGTTTTCGCGAAAATTAGGGTAGAAAAATGAGAAAAAAGCAAGTTTATTTACCTTGTCGCGAATTGGGAGTTAAAAAATTGTGTTTAAATCCCAGTAGCGTAGTAAGAGAGAACGGCTAGGTTGGTCTGTCCTTGGCGGCATTTTACATAGACGGCGAATTCATTAACATCAACAAATTCCGCAAAACTCACTGTTATATATTTCTGAAGTTTTTAATCAAAACAAATTGGGTGGAATACTAAAATTATTATGATTAATAACTTCATCCGCATATTTTTCTTATAATAAATAACTTTTTTTTTAAATAGATCAATTCTTCCATCAAAATTTCCAAAATGTTTTTTCTTCTTCTGTTAATTATTGAATTTTGTGAAACATTAAAGGGTCAAAAATCTATATAGTTATTTAAATAAAATATTAAAAAGTATCTCCAGTTTAAATTCTTTTGCTTGACGTACTTTTTAAATAACCATATTTAATATATTTTTTTTAAAAATTTCAAACGATTTTTTTTGCAAAAAGATATCTTTTGTGTTAAATCTTCTTATTGCTAGGAATTAATAATACAAACTATACTAAATTTTAATATTTTTGATGATCACTAAAGCTTTATTATTTTTGTGAAACATTAATAGTGTGACGAGAAGAACATTTTGTAATAGGAATTATTGATGTAGGTAATTTCCTATTTTCAGGTTTGCTATATAATTTCAATTATGTTTTCAATAATTTAGCTTGTTACTGAAAATTAATTTGATGCGCAATTTTATTTTCGATGGAAAAGTTAAAGGTTTTTGAATAAGTTTTGAGAGGATTATCATTATTATAGCGTTAAAATATGTACTTGATTATAAAAGGTGTGATAATATCTAGTGTGGAAGTTAAAAAATAACTTAAAGAATATTTTCGGCTATTAGGTATATTTTGTTGAAAAAAACTACACTTGTAACAAAGATAAAACTATAATACAGTTTACAGTTGCGAGGAATATAATAAAAATTGAACTAAAGACTGTATTTTTGAAATGGATTCTTTTTTTTAAGGGTTTTCTGAAAGAAAAAAAAAATCTCCTATAATTTTTTTCTTTTCCCCTCAGTTTAAAGGTTGTTCTGTAATGTTAGTCTTTATTTATATTCTTTTAGAATTCTCGCTAAAAATATAAGAAGAAGTCCTAAATCAACAGTTAATATTTTGATTCCATAGGTTGTAATCTCGGATCCATTTGCTGCATATAGTTTATAATCGCTTGCACTTTGATAACTTTTATTGGCGGGTAATGGTAATAAACTGACATCGGCTCCACTGTCGATATGGAAGTTTATTCCTGTATTCCTATCTCGAACATACAATCGAAATTTACGGCAATCATTTATTTCCTCAGCAGCAGAATCTGCTGCCATGTCTACTGCTTTTGCCTGTTTTCCGCATCAGAATCATAAGAACATGGTTGGCGGCATTTACCAGGAAAACATTTTGAACCAAATCGAAAATGATGAAAACAATATTTACCTGTTGGGTTATATCTCTTTCGTGAACGGATTCTACTTCTATAATTTATTCTATTGTAACTTCGATACATATCGCGAGGTTTTCTTACCGCCAAATTTGCTATCTGTTCTTAAAAGGAAGAAATTTTGGCGATGAGATTTTCTGTAGAATACGCTTGATTAATGCTGTACATTTCCGTTCTCGGATTTATTTTAGCGATTCTATCGGTCATTACAGCTTGTTTTTCAAGACTTTCTTCATTGACAATTAAAATGTTTTTAATTGCATCAGGTAACTTGTCTAGCCAGAGAGTTTTCAATACTTTTTCCGATATGTCATCTGGTGCTAGAGATTTCATCGTTTGAAGCAATTGGCTGGGTTTCATATCGCCAAGCTCGTTTCCAGATATGAGTCGTTTGATCTTTTTGTTTTCACTTTCCTTGAAAATATTCAGTAGTCTCTTTCTTGCGCTGCTGTATTTAGTGGTACTTTTGGCTATAATAATGTCCCATATTGTTTCTGTATATTTAGGCTCCAACTGCGAGACCAGGTAATTAAATTTAGTTTCTTCTGCTGAAATTCCACTGATAGAAAATTGCGCTTCTACCTGATAAAACCAAATCTCATGTTTTTTAGGCCAGAACGGTGGAATTTTAACGCCAACTTTGCACACTTCTTCCTTTTCATTGGATGTTAGAGATGATGTGGTTTCCTCCATCATTTACTTTAGAAAATGCTAGGTTTTTTTGTGAATACTTTTCATATTAGTATTAGTAGTATATCCGGGTCACCAGTTGTACGCGACAGGAATATAGGATAAATAATCTGAAGACATTTTTTAGAACAATCATTTTTATAATTATTTTTTATCTGTTTTTTTTTCTCTCGTTGCCATTCGCAACTCTCATAAAAATAAGATGAACAGACATGTGACGTATGACATTCCTACAGATTTAACCGAGGAATAAACCAAGAATTGCAATTAAAATGTTTTTAATCAGTAGTAAGGTAGGAATAATACATGAAAAACAAGATTTCTAAGAAACATTTAGAAGTTTTTTAATATATGCTCTCTGTTTTCTCCAGCATTCAAACAGGTTTTGATCTTTTTAAGATGCTAGTGAAAATGTTTGTGTTTATTGAGAAAAAAGGTTTACAGTGAAATTGAAAACAAAACTCACGTCTTTATCTCTTCAGGATAAATAAAATACAATAAACGTTACCCATTTTTAAATATTTTTTAACTCTTTTTTTGGATAATAACTTCTACTTTCGATAGCTTTGGCCATACGGTTGGAACAATGAGGAGACAAAGGGGGCGTGTGCCCACCCTCTAATAATTTTTCACAACTTTTGAATTGATTTAACGTTATTTTTTTAAAATTCTAAAACTATTTTTTTATGGATTAAATGTTTAGCTGGCTTATTTACCGAATTAATTTCATGAATATCACCTTCATATAAGTGATAGATTAAAATCCATTTGCTATATATATTTTTTCCGATTTGTTACAATTTTGAAGGAAATATTTAAATCAGACAAAATTTTGATAGTTACTTTATTGTAATTTTATTTCGTAGTTATTTAATGTAGCTTATGAAAACAACTCAAGATTTTTAATTAAAATTTATTTTCAATTAAGTGTAATTTTTTAATACGCATTTGAAAGATTTTTAAAAACTGCCATTTTGTTTCCTAATGTTTTGTACACAGAACTTACAGCATTTTTTGAATTTGAGATTTATTTTCGGAATTTTTTGAAGCAATAATTTCTTGGAGGAAATTTGACAGATTAGTTGTGTTTATTTTGAACCTGTAATTGTAGTAAATTTCATTTGAAACGAGATATGCTTTTTAAATTACTACAAATTAATTTTTAATAAAGCGTACGATTTGAATAGATTATATTCCAAAATATTTAATTAAATTATTAAATGAATGTTTAAATTTTGACATGAGACTTGGTGAAGACTGGATCTCCCCAAACTTATACAAATTAAAAGTGCTAAAAAACATGATTATACAAATTGTAAAAGTTTTATTCTTTTGTTTTTTAGGTCATCTCAAGTATAAGAGTTACAGGGTTAAATTATTAATGCACATTAGGACGGGCGCAGCTCTACTGAAACTTCAACTGACAGTTAGGAAAAAAGTAAATTTGTAATAATTTTTATTTTATTTTGCTCGGATGCTTTGAATAAAGTTATCAAATTATTCATGACAAGCCTAGTAAATATTTAATAATATTTTTACCATAATTATATTTTAGGACAATCAAGAATGCGTTAGATTATACAGTATTTTTCATTTCAGTTGTAAAACTAAAATGAAATATTGTTGAATTATGAATTATTATTGAATGACTTTCTAACATTAACTTAAAAGTTTGGAAACGGTCTTTATAGTGTTGTAAAATTAATTTAGAAATGGAGAAAAATTGCATTTTTATTGTCTCCTTGATAATGGAATATAAAAATTAACCATTTCGATAAAAAAAAAACTGATGTAAAGCGAAGTTAATTAGCCAACGCTTTTTTCTTCTTATTATAATTTCATTTATTTATTTTTCTTTATTATAAATTAATATTATTTAAAATTGTCCTCAACTACTCCGGAAGCCGAAGAAAAATTATTACCCAATTTTTAGCAATAAGTGGACATTTTGGCACTTTGTTGTTTGTATATGCTTTTGTGTTGAGCTCAGTATTTTTTCAGAAATAGGATTTTTTTTGAGGGGAGAGGGGGTGTAATTATGAAGGAATATCCTTTTCTGGCAAAAAAGGCATTAAATATTTTGAATTATTTCGTATCTAAAGTAAAGAATATAGAGGGGCTTTAGACATAGAGTATCTCCCCTCTACATTCTTTGTCGAAAACTGTGTGGTTAAGAGAACGGCATACCACGGGGGGAAACTTTTCGTTGCAAGTTCCTTTTTACTTCCATGACTAATTTAAAATTGAAAGTATAGAAAAAGTGAATTCAGGCAGATCTAGAGTAAGTCATGAAGTTTCAAATACTGAAAAGAAATTTTTAAATATCAAAATGAAAATAAATTACGAGACAATAACTTGGAGAAGTTCTCTTCCAATAATATTTGTTTACATTTTGATATTTTGAATTTTTTTTAACAGCAACATACTACTATAGGTTTGCCTGAACTCACTTCTTTCTTTTTAAAATTTAAATTTGCAATGCGCGAAAGAGAATTAGCGACGAAATTTTCTCCAAGGGGCCTCCATTCTTGTCACCTAGGAGTTTAGGTTAAATTTTAAATTTGTATTTTCTTCATGTTGTTTTGTAATAGACAAACTTTTGATGACATAGTATCATTAGATAGCACAATACCTTTCAATAAAAGTAGGAAATAAAGGGATCAATTTATTAGATTAGAAAAAATAGTGCTGGATAATTTTTAGAACTTCTATGAATTTTTCCTCAAAACTTTAAAACAATGAAAAGATGCAATATGCGATTTGAGTAAGTAATTTAAAATTGCATGTTCTTTGGTTTTTTAAAAATTAATTTGATTACATTTTAAATTGATGAAAAACCAGTTTGGATTAAGGTAAAAAACTCTTTCTACTTCAATTGAATAAAAACAGATATTTATCAAAAGTTTAGAAGCTGACAATTTTTTTACTATTCAATTTCTTATCAAAAACTGTTGTATTGGCATAATTTTGTCAGAAAAAATTAATAGAGAATCTAAAATACCGCCACGCTTTATTGTGGTTGGGTGGGGACTTTATATTTCGCAAGTGTCAAGAGACACATCCAAATAGAGTAAATATCTTTCATTAGTTTACTTGTGAGAATTAACCTTTTGCTAACGGTGCTTAGCATGACGACGCCATTCTGGTCCACTTACTGTACCAGCCGTAAGCAAAGGCTTAAATAAAGAGAATTAAAACTGTATTTCGAATTTTTTTCGCTCCTTTGATAGTTGAGTTCGGTCAAGAGAGGAAGGGTCTCTTAAAGAAAGGGTTATGATATTACGAGCTAAATCAATCAATTATTATTAAGGACATGAAATATGAAGAATATTATTTTATTGACGTAGCCATTTAGGTACAACTATAAAAAAGCAAAAGTACTACGATTATTCTTAAATTTTTTTGATTTTTTCTGCTGCAGGAAATACTTTGTGATTTGGTTTCACATTCCATATTTCTCTCGCATATTCAGCAATTGTTCTGTCGCTAGAAAATTTTCCCGAGCAAGCAATGTTCATAATCGTCTTCACTGTCCACTCCTCTTTGTTCTTAAAAAGTTCAGAAACATTTTGTTGGCACTCTACGTAGGCTTGATAATCTGCTAAAACAAGATATCTGTCATTATTTAATAAATCTCTTATAAAACCTTGAAATGCATTGGGTTCATTCGGCGTAAAATAACCTTCCAGAATTTGATCGAGGGCTTCTCTTAAAGGAGGTATGGTGTTGTAATATTCCCATGCATTATATCCATCACTTTTTTTCTCCTCGACTTCATCAACGGTCAAGCCGAAAATGAAAATATTTTCTGCTCCCATTTCTTCCTTCATTTCAATATTTGCACCATCCAAAGTTCCAATCGTCAATGCTCCATTCATCATAAATTTCATATTTGCTGTTCCAGAAGCTTCTGTACCGGCCATAGATATTTGCTCACTTAAATCTGCAGCTGGGATAATTATTTCAGCTAAAGAAACTCTATAGTTTTCCAGAAAAATTACTTTCAGTTTTTGGTCTAAATCAGGATCGCTATTTATGACGTATGATACCGAACAAATTAATTTGATGATTGTTTTAGCTGTGCGATATCCGGGCGCTGCTTTACCACCTAACAAAACGGTACGAGGAGTAAATGGTGCCTGAGGATTATTTTTTATATAATTATACATTGTAATAATGTGGAGACAGTTTAAAAGTTGGCGTTTGTATTCGTGTATTCGTTTCACTTGTACGTCAAACATGGATTCAATGTCAACTCGAACATTATAGTACTCTAATAGATAGCTGGCCAATCTCATTTTATTTGATTTTTTTACAGTCATGATAGAGTCTATAAATTGGTAATCGTGCTTGAATTTTTCTAGCTGCTTTAATTGTTCCAAATATCTTATCCATTCAGCGCCAATTTTTTCCGTGATGACAGCAGCTAGATGAGGATTGCACAACAAAATCCAACGACGGGGTGTGACGCCATTTGTTTTATTTTGAAATTTCTCTGGTGTCATCTCATAAAAATCCTTGAACAAGTTTTTTTTAATTAATTCTGAATGTAGAGAGGCGACTCCGTTAACTGAATGTGATCCTACGACTGACAGGCGTGCCATATTCACTTTCTTAATATTATCTTCTTCTATCAGAGACATTCTTTGGACTCTATCATCATCTCCTGGCCACATCGCTGCAACTTCTTCTAAAAATCTGCGGTTAATTTCATAAATTATTTGTAAATGTCGAGGAAGTAGTTTCTCAACCATTGATACCGGCCATCTCTCTAAAGCTTCTGGCAAAAGCGTATGATTGGTGTACGCAAATGTTTTGGTTACTATATTCCAAGCGTCTTCCCAAGGAACGTTTTCTAAGTCAACAAGGATCCGCATTAATTCAGGTATAGCTAGCGACGGGTGAGTATCATTTAACTGAATAGCAACTTTATGTGGCAGCATATTAAATTCGAATCTTACATTTCCTTTTGTTCCAAACTCGCACTGTTTAAAGCGCCGTACTATATCTTGAATTGTAGCCGACACTAAAAAGTACTCTTGTTGAAGTCTCAACTGTTTTCCTTGGAAGAAATTATCGCTGGGATATAAAACTTTTGTAATACTTTCTGCAACATTCCTTGACAAAACAGCTCGAATATAATCCCCATCGTTAAAAAAACGCAAGTTAAAACTTTGTGGAGATATGGCTGACCAAAGTCTCATTGTGTTTACTACGTTGTTTTCAAAGCCTGGAATAGGATAATCGTAGGGCAAAGCATTCACTATAGTGGTGCCAACCCAGTTATAACGTTTTCCTTTACCCTCTACCCGACCATAGAAATGAATTTCCTTTACATGTTCCGATCTTCCTTTTTCCCATGGATTTCCGTAAGCTAACCAATTATCAGGTTCTTCGACTTGCTCCCCGTTCACTATTTTTTGATCAAATATTCCATACTCGTACCGTAAGCCATATCCATGAGCAGGTATACCTAAAGTAGCCATGGAATCGAGAAAACAAGCTGCTAATCTTCCTAATCCACCGTTACCCAGTCCAGCGTCTGCTTCTTGATCAGCTAACTCTTCCAAATCCAAACCAAGCTCATACATGGCTATTTCACATTCATCCTTTATTCCAATATTTATCATCGCGTTCGTTAATGTTCTCCCCATAAAATACTCTAACGACAAATAATAAACTCTTTTTGGATCAGCATGGTAATACATTTGCTGAGTTCTTATCCAATTTCCAGCTAAATCATCCAGTACTGTATGTGACAACGCATCGTAATAATCTCTCATAGTTGCGACATTTCTGTCTTTAATTAAAGTATTATGGATGTGTCTGTTAAACGTTGCTTTAACAGAACTTACATCTCCTATGGCAGTCAAACCTCCTACACTTATTTGGCGACGTCGCTCATACACGCTTTTGGTACGTGTTTTCCTTTTCAGCATTTTTGTAGTGTTTCATGAAATAAAACTGAACTCCATGAAATAGAACTGATTGTTTTGATTTAACTTAAAATTCCTTTTGCACAATTCAGCATTAAAATGCTTATGCCAGTCTGGCTGTTTTCACAATTTTCTCAACAATTTTAGATTTTTATTGCTAAATATTTCCAAATAAATATATCGTGACATTTGATAATGCTTGGGAATTATTAGTAAATTAACAATTAGATTTCGAGATCTTTAATATTCTAAAATATATTGCGTTAATTTATTTATTAATTTTCTGAGAAGAAGACATAAAGAAGTTGATGTATCTATTTAAGAGGCACGAGAAATGATGACACATTTCTGGGAGCTGCATTAATTAATGTACCCAGCTTAGCGCTTGCGCATTGCTTAAAAGCTGTATGGAAAATTCCCTACTCTGATAACATTGCATAAGGACAGTTGGGCTTTTGATTTTTGAATTTTCTATAAAATTAAAAATAAAGAAGATAATAATAAAAAAGACAAATAATCATTACTAAAGGAATTTTACTCATTTAATTAATTAATGTGACTGCATTTTACAATAGCTACCTGCATAAATATTGTCGCCGAAATCTTTGTACCGGGCAGTCGCACTTAACATTAAAAAAATCTGTGTAGGGTATACCAGGTGATGATATACCGGAGAGTGGCACTTGAGCTTCAAAAAGAAATCAGTGTAGGGCATACCGGGCAAATTTGTCTCGGGCAGTGGTAGCTACCATTTAAAAATCAATGGTGTCTTAGGCATATACCGGGCAAGTGTAAACATTCCATATTCCGTTCAGGATCATCCGCATTATTTTGAGAAATTATAGGTCTGTCCTTATCCAGAAATAAATAATTATCAAAATTCCACTTCACGTCGCCAGTAATCGTTTTTTTACTGGACGAAAAAAATGGAAATGGAAAAAAATGAAAATCAAAACAATATTTGAAAAACCCTCCACGCAGCAAAGAGATTGCATTTTTTTTGGTTTTTCCTCTGGGCCTCCGTCATATTATCCTATTTATTCCTCAAGTACCAAGGTTAGAAAGTAGGCCCCTACACATTTCAGAAATGATGAATGTTTACTACAGGATCCAATGGTGTAAGTAGGTTCTGGCTTAGAGTATAAAAATTGAGACGCAAATCAATGCAATATAAACCAACTGGACAATAAAAAAATTAACTATGATGCAATATACCACTTAAGCTTGAATAAAAAGCATTTAAACTATTTTATTGAATAAGTAAATAACACAAAATAAATTATGAAACAGCTATCAAATGAAATATGTATATGATGAGCTTGGGCCGGCCAGGTGGCCGAGTGGTTAGCGTGTCTGACTGCTTAGCCGATGGTCGCGGGTTCGAATCCTGATCAGGGCATGGATGTCTCTTTATCTTTCTGTGTGTTCTATGTCCTTTCTCCTTTGTGTGTGATTGTGTGAATGTGATCCGCCCTATAAACGGGTTTGTGGTTGTGTGACGTGGGCGACGCTGCTCCATCGCCGTGGCTTCGCCACAGATGCCCACTGGGTAATGAGAAGAGAGTAGCAGTTCTGGCATTTCTGTGGCCAATGGGACAATCCCCAAGTGCCCGCTGTTAAAAAAAATGATGAGCTTGGGACTATGTAATGGTATACCAGGTTCTTAAATTGTCCAAGCGAGTGTTTTTTAGTTAAAATACCACGATTTTCATATAGGCTGCATAATAGTTCAGACGAACTATTGCTAAGCAATAGTTCGATACCGAAACGACGGGTTTGAAAAAGTTTGGTTTATCCCTATATTGCCGCAAATGTAAATCAGATTTTAAAATGTAAATCAGATGAAAACCTGTTGAATTTGGAGGATTCTCTATCATGAAATTTTTCAAACGAGTAAAATTAACATCCATGCAACGTATTAAATATTTTTGACTTTATCGAGTTTCTTTAAATTATTTTAAATATTTTGAAATAGTATCAGTATACGCGTTTTAATTTATTACGTAATTAATGCTGGTTGACTAAGAGAAGCAAACTTTTTTTGATGATGGGGATAATTCACTTTAAGATACGAAAATTACAGTGATAAAAATAATTAAAAAACTACCTTCTTCAAAAAGATAAAAAGAAGAAAAATAATATTGTTCTCGCCATATCTAAACGGAAAAATTTTGGGGGCATCATTTTCGAAAGACGAGGGGATTATTATGTAGGGTTTCTTCAAGAAAAGTGGTCAAATCTTTGATGAATAATAAATTCTAGTGTCGATAATATGGCGATATAAGTTCTGCTTGTGGGAAAAGATTGGTATATGTATTGTATTGGTGAATCGAAACAAAAATTAATGGAGTAAGCACAAAAAGAAAAGGAAAAAAACAACTCACTTCTTCATTAAGCTTGAATATTCTCAGATTTAGGTGCACAGAATTCTTTAATAGCAGTTAGATACTGTCTAAATTTATCATGAATGGAATCTGTGTACCTCCATCGCCACATAAATTCGGCGAAATACGAATCGAAAATGGCGTCTGTGGTACCGGACTGGCGGTGACATTTTTTTCTAAAGTCCCTTTTTATGACTGCCCACATACCTTCGATCTTATTGACCAGAAGCAAAAGTAACCTAACCAGCCGGTATCCAACATAGAACTAACGGACTTCTGAAATTACATATACCGTTGAACATTTAAAAATAACGCTAAAATCTAAACCAATCAAAATCACGATTGGGTTTCAACATCGCCCAGCTTGGCGATCAACCACTATCACAACTTGGCGAGAATCAAAGGGCACCCTCAAATATGACTATATTCTACCCGTACTGTAATTCAGCACGCAGCTCCAGTGAAGGTTTGGGCACACTAGCTAGTCGGAAAGCGGTAAACATTTTGATTGAACGGCAAACATTTGATTTGATAAAACGTAGACGTAATAATAATAAAATACTTCAATAGGCTGCATAATACATAGTTCTGTGCATCTAGTAGAAATTCTAGAATCAAATGATTCATAATTTATCATTACCCAATCATTTATCTGGAAACAATACTAAGTTTGCAAAAACGTCACGTTTGGAAAAGTTTTGATTTATTACTATAATAAAAGTTCGATAGTCTGTTTTTAACATTTTTTTTAAGGATTTTGACAAACTTAAAAAAAATTCTGGTTGAATGTTATAAAAATTGTAAAAAAATTAAAATTTTTAATAATATTTCCTACAAGTGCTTCCTTTTCTTATTTCAAACTTCCTTTTTTAATAACGTGTTTTTTGCGCTTCCTAAGCTTTTTATAAAAAAATATTTCATTTATTTTCCACTTTATTCAAAGCAATCTTTAAAAACTTCCGCTTAAAACATTCTATCTAATTGTTCAATTGTTTTTTTTTTTGTTCTTAAGTAAAAGAAAAAAAAGATTTTTTTTAAAAAACTTCTTTTAACCTTCTTCCATTGTTCTCATATCTGCTAATATTTATAGAAAAAGTTCACAAAAAAGTTTTGCTAATACTGTTCCGTTCATTTAAAACACCTGGATATTTTTTTATGCATTACTTTTTCCGACCCGCTATTTTAGTAATAAAAAAAAAACTAAAGAATTATTCTTTGCATTAATTTTACCTTTTGTTTTTAAGTATGAGCGTAGGGGTAAATTTGAGTCAAGTGTTAATTAAAAATAGCTCGCGTTGTTAATTACAGCGTTTTTAACTCATTGTTTTTGTCATCATAATGAAGAATAAAAACTTCAATTAATTTGTCTTCTTTAATCCTTTCTTTTCATAGTTTTAAAGTTTTTTGTTCTTATTTTTTTTGTTCTTGATTTCTCGGGTTCGGGAAAATGTTTCCGGGAAAAAAGTCGGATATTTTGATTTATTTGGCGCAAGTTTGAAGTGTTTAAGTATAGCGTTACAATATTTAATGAACTTTTTTCGATAAATTCTAGTATGCCTTTTATTTAAGATTGTATTTGTGAATACAAACGTTGTTTTTAATGATTCAATTAAGAAATGGTGATTGTTTCAAATATTTATTTAATTGTCATGCAAGGAAGAATTGTTTTAACGCTTTTGATGAATACAATTAAGTGATTTTTTTTTCTTTCAAAAGTGAATAGGCGAGAATTCTGATCTTTGCATTTCTGATATAATTGGCGAGGTTTTTTTTTCAAAGAAACTTCATTTTTATTCCGCGGAGTAAAAATTTGGTCTGATTCATTATTTCATACTGTTTAAGAGAATATTTTTTAAACAATATACAAAGAAAGAAATACTCATCGTAAGTTCGAATATATTTTAGAAATTAAAAAGTAAGTTTTAAATGTAATGAAAGCAAACATGAACAACATGAAACAAGTGGAATTAACATAAAACAAGTTTCAACTTGCGAAAAGTTATAAAAAATTATAAAAGTGTCCAACTTCATACTAGCCATGTATATGGTTTCATCATAGCTTAATTTGGAAAAAACAATGCTGTTTTAAAACTTTTATAGAAATATTTTTTATACTATACGGATATTTTAATCAAATTGAAGCTCAATTTTTAATAGAAAAACGTATCAAATCAATTCCACTTAGCAAAAAATTTTAAAAATTTCTTAAATTGTCCAATTTTATATTAGCGAAATATATGGTTTCCTTTTTGCTTAATTTATGCAAAACTATATTGTTTTAAAACATTTCTATAAATGTAAAGAATTCTTAAATTGCCCGCTTTTATATTAGCGATATATGGTTTTTTTCATAGCTTAATTTTGACAAAACAGTACTGTTTCAAAATTTTTCTATCAATATTTTTTGAAAAAATATGAATACTTTAATTAGACTGATGATCACCTTTTGACATGAAACAATTGTCAAATTAATTTCTCTTTGCAAAAAACTACAAAAACTTCAAAAATAGTCAGAATTTTTTTAGTCATATATATGGTTTCATCATAGCTTAATTCGGACGAAACAATACTGTTTTAAAACTTTTATGGATATAAAAAATTCTCAAATTTTCCGACGTTATATAAGTTGTACATATGGTTTCATGATAGCTTAA